CGCCTCCTGCACATCTCCTACTGGGGATGTGCCCGCAACCCAGGTACATGCCCTTGACCGGAATCGAACCTGGGACCTTTCAGTCCGCAGGCCGATGCTCTATCCACTGAGCCAAACCGGTTTTGGCTACACCAGAATCTTTTAATTGAAGAAATGTACAATTTATAGAATGTGTTAGCTGCTTTAAAACTTTGTAGTAAGTGTTGATTTTCTTTCTCAACCCTTTAGTAATAAAAACAATTTTCTCTTAATTGGGTGCTTTTTGTTTGTTTACAACTGCCATCAGTAATGTTAGTGTAACACTGAAGTGTTGTTAATGTAAGGAACACTAAATTTAAAAACTTTGACCTACTTAAAATGTTATTTATAAAATTAGTGTTCTTCTCTTCTTTTGGGAACACAGACATTTTCTTTAGAGAAATTTGTCCTCTGCAGCCTGCCTCCTTTAATGTACTCTGCAGGGACCTTTGGGAACAACAGAAATTTGTGGTTGGTAGGAACTTGGAAATCACTACCTCTAGCAAAAGAAGAATTGGTTACTTCTGCTAGGATCATTAGATTTCATCATATTTCTCTGTTCCACATTTTTTCCTTTAAAAATGCTGAGCCTCATCTTAAAGGCCCTTCAGTGGGATAAGAATCAGTGAACTTCACCTGACTCTTTGAAGGTAGGCCTAAGGTTAAGCTTAGTATTCTTATATAAAAAGACTGTCTAGGATTAAAGTTTCAAGCCTAAAATTACACTACTGTTTACCTTCAGTTTAAAAATAAGCATTGACCGTAGAATTTATTAAACACCGTTTTGTCTGAGTCTCTTTTCAATAGAATTTATTGGGGTGACATCACATCTAATAAAGCGGTAATGTGCAAATTGACCCTCACTCCAACACACAAGATGGCCGCCCCCATGTGGTCACAAGATGGCAGCCACAGCCACAAGTTGGCTGGCAGGGGAGGGCAGTTGGGAGGACCAGGCGTGCAGGGGAGGGCAGTTGGGGAGACCAGGCCTGGAGGGGAGGGCACTTGGGGGGGGACCCAGGCCTGAAGGGGAGGACATTGGGGGGCACCAGCCCTGCAGGGGAGGGCAGTTTGGGGGACAACCCTGCAGGGGAAGGCAGTTAGGGGTAACCAGGCTGGCAGGGGAGGGCAGTTAGGGGCAATCGGGCCAGCAGGGGAGTGGTTAGGGGCTGATCAGGCAGGCAGGCAGGCGAGTGGTTGGGAGCCAGCAGTCCTGGATTGTGAGAGGGATGTCCAACTGCACGTTTA